TTTTAAAAACGGTTTGTTTTCAATATTCATTGCCTAGTGGCTAAGGTTATACATGCAAAAATCATTATTACTTGAATAACAGAAACTATTTTGTTAAATTTGTTTCTTATCAATAAAGGCAACGTTCGTCAGTAAAGTTTGAATGATTATCTTCTTTTATTATACCTATCAGCAAGTAAACCGCCCAGAATAGATCCAAATAACATTCCTCCATAGAATACCATCTCAGCATTTGCATGCAGTATCTTTTTATCACATATAAGATCTACCTACACATGAATTAAAAAATACATACAGAAGGGACAACATATCTGAGACTATCTTTAAAATAAGTGGTTTCTTTAAAAAATTGTACAAGTTAAGCAAACACTCTACTCAGGTGCACAAGCCTGTCAAATGTAATTTAAGCAAGAAGAGGCATCTGAGATTTTCCTTCACCTGTAAAGCTCAAAATTAACTTAATGATGTCCACAGTGCGGATCTGACTTGAATCCGAACTGAATCTTGAACAAAAACTAGCGTTTGAAATGGATCGGGTACATTTGTTAATTCCTTTATTTTTTCTTACCGGAAACAGTACAAAAATATTTCAAATATAACGAAATACAACGAAAATACTTTTTGTTTATGATTTTCGGTCTGCGACAGACGATTAACACAATCTGGTGATCAAGACTTTAAGAGAATTCGTCACCAATTCAAATAAGTCCGACATGCGAGTTTGGGCCTTCGGTCAAAACTATTTGAGATTTTACTTTATTGTATTATTTAATCGGTGGAATACATGTTATGTTTTGATTTTGCCGGCGGTTGTGAGCTTTATTGTACGCAAAATAAAAAATAGATATTTATATATAGAATTAATATTTCGTCTATCAAGGCTTCGGCTCATAATAAGCTTAGTTATATACAAAAGTACAGTAGCTATTACAATAAAAAAAATCATGAGTATGAAAGAGAATGACAAAGAATAATTAGTAAACGAACTATATACGCTTGTAGAAGAAACAATCACGGATGGTAATTATGACAGGCAAATATAACGTAATCTAAATAGGATGAATACAGTCTGTTTGGTCCATCGTAATTTATTGATCTTAATAGTGAAAAGAACATACTATTATTATTATTATTATTATTATTATTATTATTATTATTATTATTATTATTATTATTATAATCTTTCTGTTGCTATCATCGAAATAACGTTCTATATTCATTGTCTAATATTGCTGTAGTTTTTGGCATGGCTCATCAACAAGAAGTATCAATTATTCAATTAGTGTAGAACTGCCTGTTAAAGGTCATGCATTTCAATTAGCTAGTAATAAGCTAGTAAATAAATTTAGGCTACTTTTTCTTCGAAAATAAAAACGTTATGGAAATTTTCTCGGCCGCTTTAGATGCAAATCATAATAATATAAGACTTGCGACGGTTTCAATCAAGTCGATGAACAATTTGCTATTGGTAAATGAATCGAAACGGTATTTAAAGAGCGAAATCACTAAATAATAACATTCAACATGTTCAAAATTTTCCTAACGTTTTCTTCAAAACCACCACAGACTGTAAACAATGTGCTTATAGTACTGGTTGTGACGCATTTTACCTAAATGTAATTTTGTGCACATTAAATTTGTGTTTTATCCTACGAGTACGTACCACTTATCAACATCAAAGCAAGGCGAGGCTTACAGAACGCAACCCCCCGAAACTACATTAGAATCATTATGTGATTTACGTATTGTACCAATGATTGATTTCTTTAATAATATCAAAAATGGTTTGCGAATTAAAATAAACGATACCTTTGATACAAATGTGGTTTTAAATACTGTTTGATCATATACCCAACTGTTACATGGGACTTTTGCTCCACCATTAGTTTCATTCAACCTGTAAATCAAAGTTATGTGTATATGAAACCATTTAAGAATATGATTAATAAGTCGTTTTTATTTTTAAAGAAACGCAATTGTCCTTAAAAGCTTCACAGATCTAGATTTGTCAAATGAATTTATATTGTTGAATACGTAAATATTATAACTTAATAAAATAATGTCTGTATGACATTTCTTTGGTTGGCCGAGAAGTTTGTACAAACTGGGACAATAATGAATACATGAAAACATTTTGAACCATAATAACGTTTCACTTCCATTCTTGTGTTGGAACATTTTGCATTCATCATATACCGCCTCAGGGTCTGTAGACGGAGGTATCACTAAATCTATCAAGTGCTGGTGTTCATCTCCTTGAACTTTATATGTATCGTTGTCATATCCCGGAATGGCACATCTTAAACAACAGTTTTTAATTAAGAAAAGGAACTTTATTGATTATTTCCATAATCGAAAAACGATATTGATAAATATAAAGTAAACTGTATAGTCAAGATAAATCAACTTCCAAGGAAAAGATAAGAACAACACGTATATGAACGAGTGTTTCAAACTTTTATCATCACGTTGTCAAGGAGACAAAAACATGAACAGTTTCGCTACACAGGGAATGCAAGCTCCATTAACATTCAACATACATCATGACAGACTCAATAGTAAAGAAACCAATCAGTCGTTGCCTGAACACCTTTATTGTTTATTAAGTTATATCTTGTTATTTAATTAAGATGCTTTACGCACTTGATGGGATTCAACTAAAATAACAATACATAATCTAAATGCTGCATTTTATAACAACAAAATCGATAAAAATCTATGCTTATTGTAACTTTTAACTGTGACGTTTATTCTTAAAACGACTAAGGAGCATACTAATGCCAGTTGTAAATGTACATCTAAATGAACTTAGAGTGATCAAGTAACACTTACCTATGTTTTGGAACTCCAAGGATAAACACCGGGTTAAGTTGAAAGAATCCAGAAAGTATATATGGGTAACACATTAAAACGAAAATCCACTTCTGGTAGAAACCGAACCCTCCAATTTTCTCTAAAACATCATCTAAAGTTTCATCATCAACGTTTTGAATTGTGTTATTACTTTCTGTCTTTTTAATTCTGATACTCATTTTTAATATGTAATTTCGTTATCATATTTAAATAGATAGATGACTAATTTATTGTCATGCAGATAAAGAAAGCTGCTTATGAATAAAGAAAACTGGATGTCTTCGTTAGATTAAATGGTATGCAGCTATTTTATTTTAAAGTTATAATTTATTATTAAACTGAATAGTTTACGTACTAAGGGATACTGTTATGTTAGATCTTAACGTTTAACGTTTAAACAAAAAGTTAGCAAAATTAATATCGGTATTTGTTTAATTCATTATATAGCGCTATTGCACCGTGTATATCCAGCTACTTCGGCATGTGAACATATCCTACGTTTTGCAAGTATTTACTTACACTGAAAGTAAATAATATTTTGGAATATCTGGAAACAGATTTCCCGCATTTGCCTGCAAAGGCATTTTATTCTATCCCTCGTCAAAATATTTTTAACAAATCATCGGTTTAGAGAATGTACAGTGACGCTTACCAGGCAAGAGTGGTGAAAAATAAACATTTAGATATTTGTCAAAACATTGGGATATATTTAGAGTCAAACATAGTTGAGATTAATCGCTTTGTGGCTGGTTTGTCAGATGGCTGTACACTCATCGTTTTTGTCTTCGTTTTGTTTGAAATTTTGTATTGCTCAATAGCAATTAAATCTGCAAAACATAATCAAACTAGAACTGTGTCCACAGGACGCGGATGCCCCCACTGACAACATATATATGGTATATAGTGAAAAAATCAACAAAGGGCCATAATTCTGTTAAATTTGGTCGCAGCAAAATTTCCTTTCTTTACTTCCATCTACACATTAAGGCTGTTCATCCCTGGAAGTTTTAGCAAAATCTGCCATTCGGTTTAAGAGGAGTTGCGTTCACAAAATTTCTATATGGTATATAGTGAAAAATTCAACAAAGGACCATAATTCTGTTAAATTTGGTCGCAGCAAAAATACCTTCCTTTACTACCATCTACACATTAAGGTTGTTCATCCCTAGAAGTTTTAGAAAAATCTGCCATTTGGTTTAAGAGGAGTTGCATTCACAAAATTTCTACATAGTATATAGTGAAAAATTCAACAAAGGGCCATAATTCTGTTAAATTTGGTCGCGACGAAAATTCCTTCCTTTATATCATCTACACATTAAGGTTGTTCATCCCTGAAAGTTTAAGCAAAATCTGCCATCCGGTTTAAGAGGAGTTGCGTTCACAAGATTTCGGGACGTACGGACGGACGGACGGAGTGACGGACGGACGGACGGACAAGTGAAACGCTATATGCATCCCACTTTGTGGGGGCTTAAAAAGTCCTGGTAGTTTCCTTTTGATTTAGATACGCTGCTGCAGACATTTTCACAAAAAATCTTACGACAATTTTCTATCGTAAGAGAAATCTTACGATAAATCTCCTTTTCACAAAAAATCTTAAGAAAATCTTAAGTGCAAATATCTGTCGTAACTTTACGATAGGTCTTCCCCGCTCGTAAGTGTAATTTTTTCTCTCTTAAGGGTAAAATATCATGTATCTCTTACCTAAACTGAATAAAAACAAACAAAAACTTGGAGGGCAAATATATATCAAGCAAACGGTATGCTATAAATCACACAAATTGAGGTATAATTATTTTTTAATATAAACATTTGTGACGTCATGACTTGATGACGTCACGATGAAGAGGGTTATGAATAGTTTAAATGTGAAAAGTAATAATTTATACATTTGGTGAGTTCGATTTCATTGCCAGCATGTACTAGTGGTACCTTTTTATCTATTAATTACACGGTAGACCTTCTTTCTGATTTTTTTAGATATTTTAATTATCTTCAATCAAGATATAGAATTATATCAGTTTGAATCATTTTTTTGTTCTTATTGAAATTTGATTGTGTTCAATAGATATTTCAAGCTCTAATTACTTTATTTTAAAACCGGAATCAAATATAGAGCATGCAAATCAATATCAAATGAACGCATCCCATAATATAACCAAGCAAAGAACCACCGGCAAAAAAGAACCCAATTCTTGAAAATGCCCCATAATTCAAAAGTCAATAACGGCTGATATTTGTCCGCACTGCTCATATTGTCAGGTTATGTAGCTGCTAAACGACAAAGGACTTAGTGAAAGGTTCTTTACCAGTTGGTAGGGATTTAACAGTCAAATAAGCACTAACATGTCATCTTTAAAGATTTACGCTCAACTCTTAGTCTTATTGTTTTTGACATATAATAATAATTATATAAGTACAGCCAGAGACTCATTACTAGTACGCAAAAGCATGTCCCTAAACATAAAACAAGATAGGAAAATGTTCAGTTCTTTATTTCGTCATTACAATGGTCGAATAATTTTCTTTATTTAAGTCAGTTACAATGTACTTTTATACCATCATATGATTTATTTTTCATTTACACTTCCTTCTCTTATTTTCTCCATGGGTTAGCTTATCTACATGGCGTGTTAACATTATTATTGCCGGATACATGAGCGTCACTTGACATGTCAAACACATATTTAGATAAGAAAAAAAACCAACTCAAAAGTCATTATGTATATAATCTAAGTCCAAGTACTTACGACTGTTCAGCTAGGAGGCATCTGAAAAACAAATTATAAAGAACTACACGTACTAATATACTTATTGCGTGAGAAAACCGATCGGATAATTTAAAAAATGAAAATTGATTTTATTGCTAAGAAATAAATGCATCCCGAAATATATGAAATTGTTACATATATCTCATATGTATGGTAGTATATAAGTAAGAATTCAAGGAGAATAAGATGTCGATAATAAAATACAGAAAGTACCATTCATTTTTTTTTCAAATGTGAACACATTTCAGTTGACAAGAATTAACGTCATTTTATTAGTTTACAATAAAGATCATAAAATGAATCATTCGCTACTTATTGTTTAATGTCAGATACAATTTGTATATCTTATGGTTTTACAATCAAGCACCAGCTAACTAGTTACAAATGTCTAGCTTTTCTGGCTGACTAAACACCATGAAACATATATAGAAAACCGCTTAAATAACAATATATCCAAGAAAACTGTTTTATGTAGATGAACATTTGGCAAATGGTATCTTTTTGTGTTTTTCTCATGACGTTTTTCTATTTATGCTTAACTCTGTATATTATTGCCAGGCGCTTGAAAGAATTTTTTAATGCACTATTATTGTAAGAGATGAGGAAACACTATTTTATAACAGTGAAAACAATCTTATTTAAATGAAGTAAATATAAATGTTGCCTTTCATTTATTATAACGGTGTTATTTTATGAATCATTAAGAATTTTATTCAGATTTGTTTGTTCTCGTTGTGGATGTCTCTAATATTTGTTATAATCAGACTATTTACTAATATTGTATTAAATTTGCGATTAAATTATAAGATAACTTCTAGTTTTAGTTCAATGTAAAATTGATGTATAATTTAAGGATGCTTCAGAATGCTGCAAACCTTTTATGAAAATATGCATGTTCACTAACGGGTATCTCGTGCTTAATAAACTTAATGATATAAAAACACAATCTAGTTATCCTTTTTCCTGAAAAGACCAAGATCAAGCATATGGTTATCAAACTATGAATAATTTATGTAAAACAAAAAAAATCATTTCAGCTTGTCCGTATTGAAGATATATAATGCAATGATATCTCAGAATATTAATAACTACTAAAGGGTCTTTACGTAATTGTGAAATAAATATGTTTTTAATACACACATAATGAATTTATCACGTTTAAAATTCAACACACTATAGTTAAGCACAGTATTAATACATAGTTTCACTGTAGACTAGCAGTTAGTGTTTTTTTACGAAAGGGCCACAATATTTCGACCTGCAATAGGGAATACTGCTTTCAATGTATAGATTGAGCATTTTATTATTCATAAAATTCGTTAAAATTCATCTCAATTTAAAGGGATTCCACTGAGATTTTTTTACATGACCGGACTGGAAATAATTTTCCGAGACTGATAATCCATTTGATGTAGGTCATGACTAAAAATTTTGTGCAAATTTTCAGATCATTCACTCTACCCTTTTTTCCAGAAAAGAATATTATAATTGTAAAAATAACCGAAAATTGTAAAGCGATGCAACGATTTTTAATCATTCTGACTCGGAATAGCACAAACTACGACTTTCAGTTTATTTCTGAGTATCTTTTCTAATTATCGTTTGCATTTGACCAAGTGATCTACGTTCAAGTTTTATGTTTCAAGTTTTTGGACAATTGTTCCTTTTAACAAAATAGGATTTTCGGTTAATAAAGAATTTCTATTTTTGAATACCAGTCTTTCTAACATATCTGTATGCTACACATACAATAAATTGGTAGATTTTTAGAAAGATATATCATAATATACCAATCTTAACTGTATTTGAGTATATATGATTAGCCAAATTGTATGCTTAAGTTAATTAGAAAATTTTGCTAACTGATTTATTTCATCGATTTACATTAAATTAAGATACATCTTAGTTTTTTTTCTTGTTTTACTGACGTTCGTGGGTGTCATAAGCCAGTTTGAGTTTATGTGTGTCATTCTAAATTGGCGTTAATGGTTATTTTACGACGTGAACTGATTTTTCAATTATCCCAGGAGTAAAAGCTTTATTACAACAAACAATTACGAACAAGTACTTTTAAATCCTGATATACAAGGAATTTATAAAAGTTGACATGAATGACCTGCATTATCAACCTCAGCCTATAGAAAATAGTTTTTCGAACAACAGAAGAAAATACAGCCATGTTTGTTGTTATCAAAATGTGTCTACCATTTCCTTAAGGCATTAATCTAAGTTGATATTTTCCTTTCCGTCAGATTTCCTAATAACGTTGCTTGATTACTGCTTGTTTTATGGCATTTAATAATTTGTAGCATTTAATGAGGAGTTCGTTGTTTACAACACAAAAAAGATTTCTTTTTCAAATACATATAAACAACGCATACATTAATCATATACATGTATAAACATTTAGGCTGGGAACGTCAAAGTTGTTGCATATATCATTTTCTCTCAATAACCGATTCAATCAAACTTAGTCTACAAGTTTTACCTTTTTA